TGCTCTTGTGTTTGTTAGGAGGTGAATGGGGTCGAGCGGGTAGCCGGAGCGGTCACTCGGCACAGCTGCGCCCAGCTGTTGTTTGCCGCGGGGCCTGCTGACTCACCGACAGCAGGGAGACTCTGAGAGGACGTTTGCTACGGCCAGGGTTCACTACACCAGCGGTTATCTATCCCCGAAGCGTCCCGAGAAGCACCCGCCAGGGGCTTTTTGTCTGTAGATGATCGCTGTCATCGCGAGATGAAGGCTCTAGTGCCATGCAGCCATCGGGCCTGCTTCTGGAGTTAGTTCACCTCCGAGTGATTAATTATGCTCTGGACTTTTGACAGACGTAGGTGGTGGCTGGGGAAAAATAAAAATAAAAATAAAAAAGAAGAAGGCACTAGATAACCGTGAAATTAAACCTGAGTTTAGGGTCTTCTTAGACTTTCAAAGCTGAACACGGGTCGCTTGTACAATTTGTAACGGCAGTGGCTTAGAAACTCCTCTCCCCAGTTAAACAGGCATGGGTTATGGGATCTAGCCAGTAAGTTATAATCAACAGGTGCCTTGTTAAGCGCATTAAATGACTAGCGTTATCTTAGTAAACCTTCACAGAAACTCTGAAGTAGGCACTGAGGTTATCATTTCCCTCTGTACACGAGGGGATACGATGAGGGTGCACATGGAGAGGAGCAGTTAAGTGCAGCTTTACTAAACACAGTTTGCACTGGTGTAAAGGGAACCAGGAGGACGCAAGCACTTAGCTTCTCCAGGGTATTCTGTTGCTTACAAGCTCCATATCCTTTGGCACATCCTACCCTTCCACGTCCTCAGTTTGTTCATTCACAGAATGTTGATTTTGGTGTAACCAGACTTCTGAACCAACCCCCCCTCCCCCATCGAAAGCTCCTGGTTGGCTTAAACGGTGATTCTAGAAGTTACACTCTAAGGCTTCTGACTCAGGAGAACCGGAGTGAAGGATAGAATTCTGGTTTTTTTTTTTTTTTTTTTTTTTTTTTTTTTTTTTGTTGTTGTTTTTTTGCGGGGGGGGCTGCTCTCTGAAATAGTTCTATATTCAGCACCATGTGAGGGTCACTGTGAGATCTGTAAATGGTAAGCCAACTCGTAATAGTAGGAGGCTGTGAGTAAGATCAACTATTTTTGTGTAAAAGGATCCTTTAGAAGCTGGTGGTGTGCCATTCTTAAACGCACCATCAAAGTTCCCTGCGCAAAGAAGTCCCGTGCAGTTTGTTTGTAGGGTGAGGGACATTTTAGAGAAAGTCCTCTCCATTTGTTCACAAACACAGACTTTTACTGGCTGGCTTTCCTCATATTAAGGAGTAATTAGGGAGAGGTTTAGACTTCACAGTATACAGACTTGAACAGCCTACAGACATGCTCGCTTTACACGAGTCCCTTCTTAATAATTGTCTGAGTTTACATAAATGAAGCTGAGCATTTAATAAGTAAATTGGCAAGGTAGGACATCACCTACACCTTTGGGAACATTGTTACTAACACAGGACCATAGGTATTAAGAGTTTCAAAGGCTAAAAGTGACCCTTTAAAAGCCAACAGGTTTAACCATTCAGTGAGCACCACCATGGAATGCAGCTTGACTTCATCAAAGGCAGAGCAGAGCTTCTAAAGGTGATTTTGTTGTTTTGAGCTGGTCATACCTCCACTCAAGCCCTCGATATTTATTCATTCCTTAGCTGAAGAGTTCACAGTTTCTAGATTACCTGCATAAGGAACTGGGGGTAAAGTGAAGTTCCCAAATTACATTAAAATCTGTATCAGAATCTCTTTGGAGACCCAGTGAGTATATGCAGGGCATACGGTGCTTCATAGGTCCCAGGCAGGCCAACTCATAATTCCTTTAGATGCTGTCCTTCAGAGCCATGCTAGTGAAGGGTACTGAGCCCAAGGGGGGTTGCCATTAGAAGTGCCTTGCTTGGCTCTCTGCCCCGCTGCCAGTAACACAGACTGAATGGGACTCTGTATTAATAGCCTTTGAAATATTCTTAATTTTCATTTCTCCATCTTGTAAGCAGAGTGAAGACCAAAAGAAATTTGGGAAAAAAATAATAACAAAGTCCAGGAAAATACACGGCAGCAACATGTTTGGAGAAGTTTGGGACACATGGAATATATATATTATCAATAAGTAGTATCTAGTTGGTACAAAGTATTGCTCTATGCTTTGAAGGTTTAGTGAGGAACAAGGAGGGACAAGGTTTTGTTTCCCAAGGAACTTACTAGTCAATGTGTCTCCCTCAAAGAACATATATTGATGACACAATATCCAGATCCACAGGTCCACGACTGATGGAGACGGGTCCTTTGGGAGGTAGGCATATTAAGTGATGAGTTTGTAGCCCCATGATGACATTGGTGGCTTTATGAGAAAATGACAAGCTTTCTTGTTACCTCTTTCTCACCACGTGATACCTACCCTCTGTCTTGTTAGGATGTAGCAGGAAGGGCCTTGCTGGATGGAACCATGCTCTCAGCCTTCAGACCACAGGGATAACTTTATTTATAAATTCCTCAGTCTGTTATAGCAGCAGATAGTAGACAAGGCAGGATGTTCCAGAGTACAAAGACATGAATGTGAAGTTTCTTACTGTTGTAAACACAGGGAGACAATTGAACAGGGTAATGGGATGATGTGGTATTTGTGTGTGGTATCTTACTTCACATTCAGTTATCAGGAGTGATCAAGGGTAAGAATTGGGTTTGCCCCAAGTATCAAAAAAATAGTTATGGAAAAATATCAGAGCATGGCAGTTAGGAGTCTCAGCAGTTAAGCTTGCTGGCTGCTCCTCCAGAGGACCTGGGTTCAATTCCCAGCACCCACGTGGTGGTTCACAACCATCTATAAGTAATCCCAGGGGATGTGAGTCTCCTTCGGCCTTGCAGGCACTGTGCTGCATACACGCATTACACGATGTATAAGCAGGCAGAACACCCATACACTTAAATATTTCTTAAAAAAATAAAATGATGTCTGTGGTTCAGATAAAAAGGTGCTTTCCAACTCAGAAGAGCTCTGTGTGCAGTGTCACTCTCCCAGAGTCCCTGGCAGTGTGCTCCTGAGGGCCTCTCATCTCATGCTGTGTCAGTGGTGCTTGAGAAAGCCATGCACTACAACAGCAAGGATCTCCAGTCCTGCCAGGCCACGGGGAAGTTGCTTAACACTATTCATGCCTCTCAGGAGCTATGAAACCTGTAGTCAGGACATAGCCATGGCCTGACACACTGACTGGCCGAGTCAGAAAGAACTTGACTCCTACCAAATAGGAAGGGAAGAGAAAGGTTTCAGGGACATAGAGAGTTGGGGTGCTGGTGGAGATGAAGTTAGAGAAGTGGGCAAGACCTAGCTTATGAGTGGGGTTGTGCTGTTTTATAAGTATGGCAGGAAATGTTAGAGAGCTGTGGCTGGACAGGGGACTTGACTGGCTCCACTTGCTCATTTCTTTTTTAAACAGGAGACAATGCTGGTGAGTCCAGTGTAGTGATTCAGGAGAGACCTGAGAGATGGTGTGAAGATAAGAGCTTCCGCTTGGAAGAAGGCACAGCTAACCCGGCTTTCTAGTGAGCTGTGGCTTTGGTGGTCTATCTCAAAGTGTGCTCTCCACAGTCTCCCTTTCACAAGCTAACAAAGCTCTGTGGTGACAGGTAAGAGTGAGGAATCTCTCATCCTTCCTTCTGTCCACAGCTATTAAATTTAGAAAGGGGAGAGCAAACAGAAGCAGGAATAAAACAAATCCTTTTTTTCTTCAAATTGCTTCGTTCACGGGGAAGCTGCTGGAAAAGCCCCAGCTGTGTCTGTTTAGCTCCCTCTCCCTGCTAGGGTTATGTTTTAGTCTTTGGGATAGGCTGTCCTTTTGCTTTTCATCTTCTTCTCCCCTTCAGTTCACACAGACTAATTTTCCTTTATTCACAAGCTAACCTCCCAACTTTTACACAGACCTTTCCCTACAATGCATTCTGCCCATACTCATTATTAGCGCTCTGGACGGCTGGAAGATGGTAAATAAACTGCTAAATTTCCCTCAGTTTTAGACATACTTGTATAATTAGACTACTTGTATTTCATTATATTTAAATATTTGGGGTTTGTATTGTGGCTTCCTCTTCAGATTTTAAAGCATATTAATTTTCTCATTCTATATTATGAGTGAATACCAAGTTGCAAGAAAAATAAGTAATTGCCAAACCAGAAGAACTGGTTGCATGGTCTTGTGAGTATCTGGGTGTCACCTGACTTCACTAGATGCTCTGCTTCCAAGGGGTGTTGTGGGAGACGATGCTCACATTTCCTTCTAGCTTCTCCTTTAGCCCAACACAGAGGAAAGAGACCATTATGAGAACAATGTAGGCAAAACCAAGCTCTGATATTTTCTCCATTTGGGTCACTTAAATGGCACCCTCTTAACTCAGGCCATCCGCTATAATCTCACACAGGAACTCCTTTACTCTAGCTTGGTTTGGTTATCTGAACTCTCACTGCTCTGGTGTGGAAGCTGTTCACATACATATGCTAAACTCAGAGATATTTAATGTTGGGTTAGACATTAGGTGGCCATTACACCAACACACTGCAGATTTCCGTGGTGTCACATAAGCTGTAGACACCATTTTCTGGCTAATTCTGTAGACCAGGACTTTTTGCTCTTTTCCCACTTGTGACCCCTTTTTGACAGATAAATTTTTAAATCACCCCTGGTTATAAAGGTACATAAACTTTATGTCTTGAACATATATAAGCCAAATATTTACTGACACTACTTCATAAAGACATTTATTTTGAAACAATTCCGGAGCCAGTTGTGGTGACTCACTTTGTAATCCCATCACTTGGGAGGCTGAGGCAAGAGGATCACTAAGGGGTGGAGGCTAGCCTGGGCTACAAAGTGAGACCTGGTCTTAAAGAGCTCACAAAAGTTAAAATAAAAACAAACCTTTGGAGTCCATGTGATTTTTTTTTTAACATTCATTAAAGAAGAAAGAGAATTTGCATGCTAATGAGATTGATGTGTCTATTTATGTTTGCATAAAGGACTAAATCTTGGCTGAATGTTTAATACTGAACGACATAGAGCTTCTCCCAACAGTTTTTAGAGTTGCTGGATATTTTTGATTCACAATTGTGAGTGCTGAGAATGCCACTCTGTGTAACAATGCAGTACAAAGCAGCCACATCAGAAATCATTGTGCATTCTATCTTACTTCTAATCCAAAATTTACTTTAAAATCTTTTTTTTAATGAATCCCAAGTCAGCAACTACCATAGTGAGTTTTAAAACCCAGCAGTATAATCTAAAGGTAGACTAATCTGAGTTGTGCTGAAATGTAGTGGTTGAGAGCATGAAGAGACTGTTTTCCCTAGTATACCCACCCTTTTCCCGTAAAAGCAGAAAATGTTCCGTGTACAGTAAAACACTGCAGTTGTAACACAGTAGGTGGGACTTTGAGCACGGTGTTTGAGGCAGTGCTCATTGGTGGTGTGTGGAGTGACAGCATGCAGAATGCTCATTGGTGATCAGAACGAAGGCTGCCATGGCATCATCCAATGTACCATAGGCAAGCACTGTTGGAAATGCCTTGGCCTGAATAGGCATTTGATTTTGAAGTAGTTTTGGTTATTGTGCATTCAGAAATTACCATTGGCATATTTTTACACCCACCTCCTGCATTCACTTATGCAAGCCTCCCCGGGGATCACATCCCCAGTTTAAGAAGCCAAACTATGGGTCTGTGAATGTAGTTAGGATAGGGAAGGACTTAAGCTGATTCCTTCCCATTCCTTACCAGCTTATTTGAGGCAATGAGAGATAAGGGAGAATGTAATGAAAATCGAATTTGCAGACAGAAGTGGGGTAGGGAGTGACTCACAAATTGTTAAAGAAGAGAAACTTTTGCTCTGCACAGCCTGGCATGCTGCCAAAGTCCAGTGTTCCGGCTAGTTTCATGTCAACTTGACACAAGCTAGAGTCATCACAGGTGGGAGCCTCAGTTGAGAAAAATGTCTCCATAAGATTGGGCTGTAGACAAGCCTGTAGGACATTTTCTTAATTAGGGATTGATGGGGGAGGGTCCAGCCCATTGTGAGTGGGGCCATCATTGGGCTGGTGGTCCTGGATTCTAAAAGAAACCAGGTTGAGCAAGCCATGAGGAGCAAGCCAGTAAACAGCACCCATCTGAGGCCTCTGCATTAGTCCTGCCTCCAGGTTCCTGCCCTATTTGGGTTCCTGTCCTGACTTCCTTTGATAGTGGACTGTGATGTGGAGGTGTGCACCAAATAAACCCTTTCTTCCCCAACTTGTTCTTGGCCATGGTATTTCATCACAGCAATAGTAAACCTTAACTAATATGCCCCTTTGAGACTGGATTCAATGGTTTCGGTAGCCTCCTTACCAGCTTGATATTAGAGAGGTTGTCCCCTTGTGCTTTAAGCAAAGTGACTATTATGAGACCCAAAATAGTCACAAACTGTAAATTAAATTCAAACACGTCTTACCTCTCTTAAGTAATCACCCTCCCTCTATGATTTTTGTTTTTCTTCCCCCCAAGAAGATAACAGCTATCTCCACCTCCTCCGCTTTTCCATCTGTCCTTTTCCTCCTGGCTGAAGCTGAGACTTTTTTTTTTTTACTCTCTATTTATTTTAATTAATGGATTTTAGACACAAGTGGTGAAACAGTTGATGTTCAGCTTTAAGAGGCAGTGAAAGGGAAAACTGGCTTCCCTGACTGTCAGGAAATATCTGTGTGTTTGTTGCCGGCACTTGCCTGGACAGTGAGTGACTGGAAAGAAGAAGGCTAGTGAGTCCTGTGAGCTTGCAGGTGAACCCAGGCCTGACTGGAGGGAAGTGAAGGTGGGAAGTGCTCTTTGGAAAGTCATTCTTTCTTGGGAGGCATCCTTCCTCCAAGGCTGCTCATAAGGAGTTCTGTGGTCATGGACTGTGCATTTTAGGATCAGATTCCCTAGGAATAAGATAGCTGGACACAACCTAATTCTCTAAGCATTCTGATTTGTGAAATTCACGGTTCCTCTTTAGACAGATTTTAGGCAGGATGTCTTTACCCTCCACTGTGTGTGTGTGTGTGTGTGTGTGTGTGTGTGTGTGTGTGTGTGGTGTAATCTGCACCCTTGGTAATTAATCTTAAAATATATACAGTGCATTTGGAAGACTTATAATAAACAGTTATGTTATTGCATGTATTTCTTTTGAGGTGACCTTGTGGGTATTTTGAGAGAGCTACCTTTCTCAGCTTTTGGTGAGCTTAACTCTGAAAGCTAGGGTGCCAAGCAATCATTGGTCACCAACGCCACCCTGAGCCAGTAGCTTCCAAGTTTGTTGACTGACTCCTAAGCAAGATAAAATTTGTAAAAAGGATGAGCAGAGTAAATAAACATTTATTAAGGAAAAATAAGAAAGAGGTCCTGAGAGTGGGAGGGCCTCCAAGAGAGAAATAGTTATGTTGCCTGCCCAGTATCTTTTATGGCCAGAACTGGCAGGAATTTGATGGACACTCAGGTACTTTTTTATTGAGCTTAGTCCTTTTTTTTTTTTTTTCTTAGCTCATCATGGGTTCAACCACTAGGACATCCACATGCCCTGTTCCTGATCCCACCCAGTCAGAGGAGTGGCTAGTGGTGCTCATGATCCACCATGGACTTTGCAGGTGAAATGCACTCCCTTCTTTTGGAAAAGCAACATTGTCAATAGTGGCCCCACTCTAGCATCTGAAAGCCAAGTGCCAGGGGTCACAGTACAGTCTAGAAATACAAGAATGTGAGCAAGAATCTCATCTGACTACTGTACACTCTCCATCCAGGTTAAAAAAGTGTGATTAAATGACATTAAGTAATGTGTTTTCATACTTGCAAACTGCTGTGGGGTGTTACAAAAGATACCTTTAAATGTATTTTTAAAAATAACACACAGGGAACACTCAGCAACATTCTTACAATGATGATCTAGTTTCTCTTTTGTGTCTGTTGTAACTTTTTTAGTTGCTGTGGATTGTGACTTTTCCTGAATATAGATCATGGAGCAGAATGAACAGGAATTCCTGTTGAAAGCATTTGTCTTTATTCTGAGTTTCCACAGCCTATTTTTCAAAAGAAAACTACTTTTTTCTTCCTAAGTACAAATTATCATGCAATCAGAGTGCCATGTATTGCTGTTAAGAAAAGCAAAACATGCCTTGAGTTAACTACACATTTCAAGAAGACGTGCTGAGGTAATTGACAGCCAGCATCAGAGCTCCTTAGATGCCTCTAAGCCAGCAGCCTTCAGTTTAATTAGATAATTAGCCCTGGTCAGCCTGTGATGAATGCATAGGCAATTAGCAATGAATTTGGGCTGCTAAAGCCTATTTTTCCTCTTTTGTGTTCCCTTGCTGTCATTAACAGTTTTAACTACTGAACAATTTATATCTTCACACTAACAATCAACTTTATTATCATCAAATTCTTTGCAAGTGAGAAAGCAATGAGACCTGATGTTGGTTGCACAACATTAAGTGATTATGTTAAGTAATGCCATTTATTTGCCTGGCCATCCTGCTGCTGTATTATGCCAAACAAATAAGGCTTTTAGAAGTAGTGCACGCTCCGTGATTTCGATGATTGCTTTATTTGTCAAACTCAAGCAACTAGCAAGAGCT